CTCTGATTTCCTCTTTGATCCATGGATTATTTAGGAGTGTGTTCTTTAATTTTCACATATTTTACAAATATTCTTCTATGATTTCTTTTTTCTTTTTTTCATTTTTAGCTTTAATCCTTTCCCAGTGGATTCTTTTTTTACTATTCTTAATTTAAATTTATTTACTTTTAATTGGAGGATAATTGCTTTACAATACTGCATTGGTTTATGCAACATGTCAATATGAATCAGCCATAGGTATGTGTATGGCCCCTCCCTCTTGCACTTCCCTCCCACCTCCTGCCCTACTACCTCTCTAGGTTGTCATGGAGAACCAGATTTGAGCTCTCTGGGTCATACACCAAATTTCCACTGCCTATCTCATTTTACATGTGGTAACGTATATGTTTCAACATTACTCTCTCAATTTGCCCCACTCTCTCCTCTCTCTGTGTCCACAAGTCTGTTCTTTTTGTCTGTATCTCCTTTGCTGCCCTGGAGATAGCTTCATCAGTACCATCTAATTTCACTTCACTGTGGCCAGAAAACGTATTGTTTATGATTTCAATCCCTTTACTAATGTTTTTAACCATAAAAATGTTTTACTTATTTTATGACCCAGCATGGTCTATGGGCTTCCCAAGTGTTGGTCAGTCACTCAGTCATGTCTTTGTGACCCCATGAACTGCAGCACACCAGGCTTTCCTGTCCTTCACCATCTCCCAGAGCTTGCTCAAACTCATGTCCATTGAGTCAGTGATGCCACCAACCATATTGTCCTCTGTCATCCCCTTCTTCTCCTGCTTTTAAGCTTTCTCAGCATCAGTGTCTTTCCAATAAGTCAGCTCTTCGCATCAGGTGGCCAAAGTATTGGAGCTTCAGCTTCAGCATCAGACCCTCCTAGTGGTGCAGTGGTAAAGAACCCACCTTCCAATGCAAGAGAGGTGGATTCGATCCCTGCATTCCCTGGAGAAGGAAATGACAACCATCCTTATCTGGGAAATCCCATGAAGAGAAGAGCCTGGTGGGCTACAGTCTCTGGGGTTGCAAAGAGTCAGTCACAACTGATCACACATGCACATAGCATGAACTCTATTAGAGAAGGTTCCATGTGCACTAGAAATGGTATATTCTGCTGCTGTTGGGTGACGTGTTCTACCTCTGTCTATTTGATCTAGTTTATTAGATTTGTTCAAGTCTTCTATTTCCTTGATCTTCTATCTAGATATTCTATCTTTTTTTCAAATGCAGCATGGAAGGCTTCAATTATTATTACTGAATCAACTTTTCCTCACATCAGTTCTAAAAACTGCTGCTTCATAAATTTGGGGGCTTTGTTGTTAAGCATGTAGTGTTTATAATTATTATATTTTCTTGGTAGATTGATCATTTTATTACTAAATTTTTCTTTCTTACTCTCTAGTAAAAATTTTTCTCAGAAAAAGTTCTATTTTGCTGATGTTAGTATAGTCACACCAGCTTTTGCTTTTTTTTTTTTTGTAACTGTTTCCACAATATATATTTTTCCATCCTTACAATCAATTTATATTTTTTAATATAAAATGCATCTCTTTTAGAGAAGGTATAGTTGTATAACTTTTAAAATTCTGTTCTGCCAATTTCTGTCTCTGAAGTATGTAATCCATTTACATTTAATGTAGTTACTGGTAAGGTAGGATTTGTGCCTGCCATTTTGCTATTTGCTTTCTATACATGATATATCTTTTCTATTTATGTATTACTTCACTACTGCCATCTTTTATCTTAAACAGGTATTTTCTAGTGTATCGTTTTAATTCTTCTGTCATTGTTATGTATATGTTTTAGTTTTTTCTCTGAGTAGTTGTCCTGGATATTACAATTAAATGTCTTAATTTATAAAAATATAGTTTGGATTAAATTCAACTTAATTACAATATTATCCAAAGCTATATTACTATATAATTCTATCCATATCACCTTTGGGCTGTTGCTGCTGCTGCTAAGTCGCTTCAGTCGTGTCCAACTCTATGAAACCCCATAGACGGCAGCCCACCAGGCTCCCCCGTCCCTGGGATTCTCCAGGCAAGAACACTGGAGTGAGTTGCCATTTCCTTCTCCAATGCATGAAAGTGAAAAGTGAAAGTGAAGTCGCTCAGTCATGTCCGACTCTTAGCGACCCCACGGACTGCAGCCCACCAGGCTCCTCCATCCATGGGATTCCCCAGGCAAGAGTACTGGAGTGGGGTGCCGTTGCCTTCTCGCCTTCATGCTGTTAGTGTACAACATGACATCTTTATATATTGTATGCCCATCAACAATGGAGCTGACTGTGGCTCAGAACATGAGTTTTTTTTATTGAAAAATTCAGACTTATATTGAAGAAAGTAGGAAAAACCACTAGACCATTCAGATATGATTAAAATCAGTGGATGTGACAAATAGATTCAAGGGATTAAATTTGGTAGACGGGGTGCCTGAAGAACTATCAACAGAGGTTCATAACATTGTACAGGAGGCAGTGACCAAAACCATCCAAAGAAAAAGAAATGCAAGAAGGCAAAGTGGTTATCCGAGGAGGCTTTACAAATAGGAAAGAAGAGAAGTGCAGGGCAAGGGAGATAGGGAAAGATATACCCAAACTGAATGCAGAATTCCAGAGATTAGCAAGGCATATGCCCACACCTTTTAAAGCCCCTTTGGACATCCTAGTTTTTCCTTTTAAGCTTTTTATTAGCTTCTTGTTTTCCTCCACCTCAGTCACATTTTTTCCCAGTGTTCTCATTGCCTTAATGGAGGAGAGAATTTGAGGGGGCCTCAGTTCATCATTTCTACTAACATCTTCAGGACATTTAAGTTTTGATGCCTTGAGAAGGTTAGAGAAATCTGTAGACAATTAGAGTACAATAGAAACATAATGTGAGCCACACATATAAGTTTAAATTTATATTGTTATGTTTTAAAAATAAAAATAAAAGTAGATAAAATTATTTTATTTTTTATAAACGTATAGCTGATTTACAATGTATTAGTTTCAGATGTACAGCAAAGTGATTCAGTTATATATGTGTGTGTGTGTGTGTGTGTGTGTGTTCTTTTTCAGATTCTTTTCCCTGATAAGTTATTGCAATATTTTGTAAAATATTGAGTATGGTTCACTGTGCTATATAGTAGGTCCTTGTTGTTTATCTAGTTTATATAGTAGTGTGTATATGTTAATCCCAAAGTAATAATCTCTCCCTCCTCTTTCCCCTTTGTAGCATGTTTGTTTTCTAGGTCTGTGGGTCCATTTCTATTTTGTATATAAGTTTCTTTGTACCATTTTTTTAGATTCCACATATAAGGAATATTATATGATATTTGTCTTTCTCTGACTGGCTTACTTCATTTAGTATGATAATCTCTGGGTCCCCATGTTGCTGAAAATGGCATGATTTCATTCTTTTCATGGCTGAGTAATAGTCCATTGTATAAATATACCACCTTTTCTTTATCAGTTCATCTTTCCAATTGATGGACTCCTAGCTTGTTTCCATAGTCTGACTATTGTAAATAGTGCTGCAATGAACATTGGGATGCATGTATCTTTTCAAATTGTGTTTTTCCCCATATGTATGCCTAGGAGGATCATATGGTAGCCCTGTCTTTAGTTTTTCTACATAGTGACTGTACCAATTTACATTCCCACCAAGAGTGTAGGAGGGTTCCTTTTTCTTTACACCTTCTCCAGCATTTATTGTTCATAGACTTTTTGATAATGGACATTCTGACTGGTGTGAAGTGCTACCTCATTGTAGTCTTGATTTGCATTTCTCTAATAATTAGTGATGCTGAGCATATTTTATGTGCCTTTTAGCCATCTATATGTCTTCTATGGAAAAATGTCTTTTTATATCTTCTGCCTATTTTTTAATTGGATTGTTTGTTTTTATGATGTTGAACTGTGGCTAATCTAAATTGGGATGTGCTCTAAAGTATATTAATCTCTAAACTATACAAACAGCTCATTACAAGTGAAATTATTTGAGTAAATAATATTATTTGAATAAATAAGTTTTATTTAACTTAATACATATGAATATATCATCATTTTAATATATAATCCATAGAAAGTATCATTGAGGTCTTTTATACATTTGTTTTTCATACTAAGTTTTCAAAACCTACTTGAGCACATCTCCATTCAGATTAGCCACATTTTAAGTGCCAAGAGTCATATGTCCAACTGGTTATTATATTGGAAGGCATAGTTTTAGAGCAAGGAGTCCTGATCCAAGGGTTCATGGATGGATGGAACTTGGAAGGAGAAAAGAATTTACCTTTATTTTCACTAACCTCCAGTGAACTTTAGCATTTACTTCAATGACAAATATAAGCAATGAACAACAGCCACATCAGTAGTACCTGGGATTTTTGTCATTGCCACAGACTGGGTTCTCCTAGAACACTAACTCCAAGATGGAGACATGGATCTAAGAAGTATACTGGAGTCTGTCCTTGGGTCGATACTTGTAAAGAACTGAAAGCAGGAGGACTGGGCCAAAGTTGAGCTGTGATGTAGTCACAGTAAAGGTCTTGGGTGATCCTACAGTGAGTTCTGGAGCTAGAATGGCCCTAGAGAGTTGTCCTGAGTTGACATATTCACTCATCTCTACCTTGGAATTGTAATCAGTATTGGTATTGGATCTATTGCCCCTATATGCACATCGGGTTTTTAAAATATTGTGATAACTGCATTTCAATATAATTGGTTTTCATTGCAATCTCATTTCGTGCATTTACAAACATTCTAGAAAGAAGTCCACAGGCTTGCCAAACTACCAAAAGGGATCCATGGACGCACAAAGTTAAGAACCCTGCTATGAGGAATGTGTAGCCGTCCTGGGATGGGCAGGCCTACATGAAGCACTCTAGACAGCATTGCACAATGGACATCCGCTATCTTTATTTAAAAAAAAATCTGACAATCTTCCCTAGCCCCAAATGCCCCTGCTCTCAAAAAGCTCTGTTATTTAATGTTTTATCATGGCTTTTCCTGAAAGGGTCTCCGGTCATCCAACGAAGAAAGCCACATTGTGAAGATTGAAAAACCCAATGAAAAGGATACACGAAGAGAAAGTGGGGCAGCCCCCCAGGGCCCTGCAGGCCAAGGGGGCATCGGTCTCTTCCAGGCAGTGGGCTACCTCACAGGCGAGATGAAAGAGTACAGGAGCTGGCTGAAAGGTAGGCGGATGTCCAGGGACGAAGCAGCCGGGCCAGGCCAGGGAGCCTATGCTCCCCCTGGCTTGGACTGGGGAAGCTGCTCCCTCACTTACCCACGGCTGGTCCCCACATTCGAGGTGTTGCGGCGCCAAGCTGGCTCCAGGGAGCATAATGTATCCTACCATCTGAATTCCCATGATTTCAGAATTCAGTGCATTTCACTGATTTTGGCTCTTTGCCAGTGCTTCACTCCTACCTGGAATAGATAGGGGCAACCATAGTAGCAACATGTAAGCCATTTTCTAACAAGCTAAATGGTCATTCCTTCTCTTATTCCACAGTCGTTTTTTATGTGCCAAGAAAATATGGGCCTCATCCTCCCCAGTGTTCCAGGTTCTTTCCTTTTAACATCATTCATCTCCCAGTTTCCCTTAACTAATGTTGCAACAAATAGCCCCCACCCTCCCTCCCCCTCCTGCCCCCCACTTGTATAGGTTGTCCTGGAAACCAAACCAGAGAATGAGACAGAACAGATGTCAATCTTCAGTGTCAATGCATAACTCAATGCTAATTTCACAGCTGGGCTAAAATCGTTTCTTTCCCAGCTTTCTTTCACCTCCACACCAGTTTCTTTCCTGCTCAGATACCAGCCCTCAACTGAGCCATAGAGTTCTACACAAAAAGAGTCTCCTTCCCTCCCCACCTCTTCCTTTGGACCAATAAATTTACCTTGGAATGTTCCTGGGGCTTCCTTGCCAACCAAGCTGATGGCTGGAACAGCATTAAATTGCTCTCAGCATGGCGCTCAGTCTGTACGGCAGAACAGCACCCACTGTGGACTGACTGCCAGGCCGCTCCGAGACTCAGGCTGGGCGCCAGGAGGGATGGGAGGAAATGAGCCCACTAGTGCGCCCCTGTCTGCTTTGCTTGCCACGCCAACCAGCGGTCCGGCGGGGAAGCACAGGCGCAACCCTGCTGATGACTCTGCCTATCTCTTTCAGATAAACCCCTGGCCTTCCAGTTCACAGACTGGGTTCTGAGGGGGGCCGCTCAGGTGATGTTTGCCAACAACCCTCTCAGCGGGTTCATCATCTTCATAGGGCTCCTGATCCAGAACCCCTGGTGGATGATTACGGGAGGTCTGGGGACCGTGGTGTCAACTTTAACTGCCCTCATCTTGAGCCAGGACAGGTGAGTTCCTCTGTATGCGGGTCTTGGGTTCTCAGAGTAGAGAGGTGGAGAAGTAATTACTTGAGTGACCAGCCAACTGTATCCTAGTATCAGCCAACCAGTTTCCTGAGAATCACCTTTGAACATGTCACTGGAGTTCTTCACACAGTGTGCTCATAGCAAAGTGACAGCGCCAGGCTCCATTTGACTGTAGAACCTTCTGGAAACATTCCCTCAAAGGCGGGTGCAGCTGTTCTTCCTTCATGGAGCCTACAATGCAATACAACTAACAGACGAGATATGTCTCTGAATAATACTAGGCAGTATACATACTGGAGAGTTCAGAGCAAGCAGACATCTCTATGTGCTGGGAAGGTTAGAGAGGGCAGCTTTGAACTCGTAGCGCTGAGGTGGGAGAGTGGAAGGCCAGCGGGCAAGAAGGTAGAGCCGGGGTGATTTGGAGAAGGGAATAAACAGGAGCCGGGAAGCACAGTGGCAGGCCGGGGGAGCGACCAGCTCTGCACCAGGGGCCACAAATTCCAGTAACAATAAGTAGCATTTTATTGAACTGACCTTTGCCATAACTTATGGTTCCCAAACTTTCCTGATGGCCAGAATCACCTGGAGTGATTGTTAAGAAATTTCTCACCTCCCCCCATTCTCCCTCCTTCCCAGAGATGTTCCCTTTCAGCGGATCTGGATGTGAGGATGGTGTTTTAAATAAGATTCTCCTGGGTGCTTCTGATGACCAGAGAGGTTTAGGAATGCCCATGTCCTCAATTTTTTTTTAATTTGGGGTCACAAATCCACTCACATATCATGAATGGTCAGCAGCATTTAAAAAAAAAATTTTTAATTAAAATAACAGAATAAAATAAAACAGATTAGAGTGATCCATATGTAGTAAAGGTAAAGTATTATTTTGTGAAATTTTTGTTTCAGTCATGTTATGTGTGTGTGAGAGAGAGAGAGAGAGAGAGAGAAACTGGGTCATACTACAAAATACATTCCTTCCTTACTGTGGAGTACTGTCAAAGATTGAAAAACACCTTCTTGCCTTGTTACCTGTGGTTCTTCCTGCCACTTCACAAAGCAGTGAATCACCTGGAGAAAAAAGCATTCACATTTTGCAAGTGAGAGAAAGGAGGCTGGGAGTTGCTCACGGATGGTGCCAAGGACAATGGATGGCAGGGCTCAGATTTAGACACATGGCTACTCCCCCTGGCACATGGACAGAGTGGACAGCAGAACCAGAGGCCTCTGGTGACCCCAGAGCCTGGGGAATGATCCAAGTTGCTTGTGTTGTAACCAGTGCCACACTCCTCCAGCCACCGACATTCCAGCTCCACCAAGGCACATGCCAGCTCTAGCTGGGAGGCCATTCCAGGTCAGATGGATGAGAGGCTGAATTCTTTGGGGTGTAGTTCTGGTGAGTGACATGAGAAATGCACTTCAGTGGACTGTGTCTCGGCTTCTAGCACTGGATTCCCTATTCTTTGCTGCCACTTACCTAAAGCCTCACAGCAGCTAACATATAACTGGCCTCTGACAGATCAGCTCTTGTCTTTCTGTTCCATCATTGTTTGCCAAAAATCCCCTGAGGTGAATTCCATCTAGCCAACCTACAGGTCATCTTCAAGAAGCCCAGGTCCCTTCCTGCTCTGACAGTTTGATTCTTCCCCTTCCCTGCTGGCCATAATCCACTGGAAAACTTGCCAAGTCATTCAAAGAGTTGCTCCATGGATTTTTTTGCTCCCAGTTTTACAAGGGAAACACACACCTTGTCTGCCTAATCTTCCCAAATATCCTGATTAAGAATCTAAGACAAGAGCGCATTAGGTAAAAATCCAATCCCTCAGCCGGATTCCAAAGCCTTCTCTGACGGGCCTCACCCAACCTACCACACAGCATCACACTCTTCCCAACTGAGAGCGTTTGCTTCTGCCTATCTAATCCTGTTGTTGCCGTTCAGTCACTAAAGTCATTTCTGACTCTTTGTGACCCCACGGACTGCAGCACACCAGGTGCTCCTGTCCTTCACTGTCTCCCAGAGCTTGCTCAAATTCATGTCCACTGAGTTGGTGATGCTATCTAAACATCTCATCCTCTGTTGCCCCTTCTCCTTTTGCCCTCAGTCTTTCCCAGCATCAGGGTCTTTTCCAATGAGTCAGTTCTTCGAATCAGATGGCCAAAGCATTGATTCTTCAGATTCAACACAAGTCCTTCCAATGAATATTCAGGGTTGATTTCCTTTAGGATTGACTGATGATCTCCTTGCAGTCCAAGGGTCTCTCAAGAGTCTTCTCCAGCACCACAATTTGAAAGCATCAATTCTTTGGTGCTTTGTCTTCTTTATGGTCCAACTCTCACATCTGTACATGACTACTGGAAAAACCACAGTTTTGATTATATGGGCCTTTTTGCAAGCTGATTTCTCTGCTCTTTAATATGCTGCCTAGGTTTGTCATATCTTTCCTTCTAGCAAGCAAGCTTCTTTTCATTTCATGGCTGCAGTCATGAAAGTGATTGGAAAGGGCAGTCCACAGTGATTTTGGAGCCCGAGAAAATAAAATCTTACACTGCTTCTAATTTTTCCCCTTCTATTTGCCACAAAGTGATGGAACCAGATGCCATGATCTTAGTTTTTTGAATGCTGAGTTTCAAGTCAGCCTTTTCACTCTCCTCTTTCACCCTCATCAAGAGGCTCTTTAGTTCCTCTTCACTTTCTGCCATTCGAGTATTATCATCTTTGTATCTGAGGTTGTTGATATTTCTCCCAGCAATCTTTATTCCCGCTTGTGATTCATCCAGCCCAGCATTTCACATGATGTACTTTGCATATAAGTTAAATAAGCAAGGTGACAATATACAGACTTGTCATTCTCCTTTCCCAATTTTGAATCAGTCAGTTTTCTATATCCAGTTCTGTTTCTTCTTGACCCTCATACAGGTTTCTCAGGAGACAAGTAAGGTGGTCTAGTATTCCCATCTCTTTAAGAATTCTTTGTATTTTGTTGTGATCCACAGTCAAAGTCTTTAGCATAATCAATGAAGCAGAAAAGTAGATGTTTTTCTGGAACTCTCTTGCTTTCTTCATGATCCACCAAATGTTGGCAATTTGATCTCCGATTCCTCTGCCTTTTCTAAATCCAGCTTGTACATCTGGAAGTTCTCAGTCAACATACTACTGAAGCCCAGCTTAGAGGATTTTGAGCATAACCATCCTAGCATGTAAAATGAGCACAATAGTACAGTAGTGTGAACATTCTTTGGTATTGCCCTTCTTTGGGTTTGGAATGAAAACTGACCTCTTCCAATCCCGTGGCCTCAGCTGAGTTTTCCAAATTTGCTGGCATATTTCGTGCAGCACTTTAATAGCATCATCTTCTAGTATTTTAAATAGCTCAGCTAGAATTCCATTACTTCCAGTAGCTTTGTTCTTAGTAATGCTTCTTAAGGCCCACTTGACTTCACACTCCAGAATGTTTGGCTCTAGGTGATAACCATCATGGTTATCCAGATTATTAAGAGCTTTCTTCTGTAGTTCTTCTTGCCACCTGTTGTTAATCTCTTCTACTTCTGTTAGGTCCTTACCCTTTCTGTCCTTTGTGGTGCCCTTCCCGATATGAAATATTTCCTTGATATCTCTGATTCTCTTGAAGAAATCTCCAGTCTTTCCCATTCTATTGTTTTCCTCTATTTCTTTGCATTGTTCATTCAAGAAGCCCTTCTTATCTCTCCTTGCTGTTCTCTGGAACTCTGCATTCAGTTCGGTATATCTTTCCCTATCTCCCTTGTCATTTGCTTCTCTTCTTTTCTCAGCTATTTGTAAAGCCTCTTCAGACAACCACTTTACCTTCTTGCATTTCTTTTTCTTAGGGATGGTTTTGGTCACTGCCTCCTAAATAATGTTACAAACCTCTGTTCATAGTTCTTCAGGCACTCTGTCTACCAAATCTAATCCCTAGAATCTATTTCATCACCTCCACTGTAAAATCTAATTCTACCTCCTGCAAATCCCTCCTCCTCCAGGGAGCCACCCCTGACTATCCCAGTGCTCTCTGAACCCTCCTCTCTCTTTGAACAATCACAGAATATACCCCCATACCATATGGGATGTTTCTCTGCTTTCTGAGTCTGCTCTCACTGTCTATGTTGAGAACAAGAATTCCATCTCAGATGTTCCATATTCTACCACAGTGTCTAGCAAAGACTCCAACTTCGTTTCTGGAAGGTCAGTGACAGATTCTACATCATAGGCTCAAAGCTCTAAGCACCCTACATGATTTCCAGACACACATCATTCCAAGAAGCCCCAGCTTCACCACGGTCCCCAAAAAACCACTGATGTAGCTGCATATCCTAGTCATGACCTCCACTGCTCCCCTCCACCATGCCTACCGGCCTATCCCCACTCCCCCCTACACCCCTTCTCCCTACCCACCACTCCTTCTTCCCCCCATGCCCACTCCCCAATCCGTACTTCTCCTACCCCACCCCCACTAGTCCAAGAAGCCACTTTACCACGGCAGCCTCAAGTTCAGCAGCACTAGTGCCACAGCGTCCTGGAAGAACGTCATTCTAGTGAAGGCCTTTGGGGGCACTGAGATTGATCCTAACTTTATATTTTTGATAGTCAGGGCAGGGATGTAAGGTGATGGGTTTCCTTTTGACAATCAAACAAGAAGCCACAAAAGCTTTGCTATAGAAGGGTCCAGGGAAGGGGACTTGCCATGGGGAATGACAACTGTGGAGGCAGCTCTTAAATGCCGCCCCTAATTTTATCTCCCCTGAGTTCCTTCCTTTGATTCCTGCTGCTCCTATACACCCTCCTGCCAATATGGGTCAATGGTCTCTGCTCAGATTTCCCAAATCAGCTGCTATTAAAACTAAAACAATACTAAATTCTCACATGGAACAGAAATGAGAAAATATGGAGAAAATGCAAACACCCTTAAAGATAAAGATTTTTTTCCCCAAAACATAGGTTTCTCGGGTAGTTATTCTAGTCCTGAGGAGACTCTGAACTCCAATGGTCTTTCCTCCCACCCTGCTATTTCTCAGCCCCCTGCCTGCTCCCAGGAGCAACTAAAGACCCAGCTGTCCCAAATCCCATACAAGAGTCCCCACACAAGTGCCCCATGTTCAGCTTCTCTTGTTAGACACTGTCTAGATATGCTTTCCCACCCTCTCCCCTGCCTCCCACTCCCCTAATCTAGCTGAGCTGATCTCCTGCTCACTCCAGAACTGGAGGCCCCCCTGTTCTAGACCCAAGCCATGGCCTTTGCCAGGCAGGAGCCTCCTCTGGTCAGAGCACCTTCCCTCCATCACAGGACATGATGCTTCCAGATGCCTCTGCCTATGAAACAGTCAGTACCTGGTAGGATTTAACATGCACTCACATCCATTCAACAACTGTCCTGTACAGACACTATTGACTGCTGTTGACACTCACATCAGATGAGCATTGCCCTGTGAAGCTTTCAGTAGAGGGCAGGGGAGACCACAGCACACAAATCTCATTCTCTGTGGGGGGTTTGCAATGCGATTTGCCCAGTCTCATCCCTTGCCCAGCAGAGCAATGGGAAGGGTCAAGGTCAGAGTTCACTCGGATCAGGGAGAGTTTGGGTGCACACAGGCACCTCTGATGAAGCAGAAGGAGGCAGCGCTTGGATTCTATGGGGTCTCTGGGTCCCCCTACCATGCCGAGTATGGGGAGGAGTGTGGACATCACAGTTAACACCCCTCGTCAAGTCTGGGGACAACCTCAGACAGGAGAAAGCACTCAATGTCAGAAAAATCACAATGTCACACAGCACAGTCAGAACACACGCTCTCCTCCCTGCCTCCCTCCTTCTTCCTCCTGCCCTCTTTCACACACGCATGCGTGCATGTGCACACACACACATACACCTTCCTGGTATCAGGTTTCTATTAGATTTCCCTCTGTATCAAGGAGCGTAGACTCCCCTGACTTCAAAGGAGAGTTTAGACACAAAGTGCATCATTTAATTCTAGATCAGCGAATGTAATCACGGGGTGTGTGTGTGTGTGTGTGTGTGTGATCTAGAAAGATACCGGCAGCAATGTGACTACCCAATATTCATCAATTGAGCTGATTTTTTTCTGTGAGCACCAGGAATGGGCCCAGTGAGTGCCACTAAATTTACACAGTAACTATGTTTTCACCCCCAGGGCCGCCATTGCCTCGGGTCTGCATGGGTACAACGGGATGCTGGTGGGAATGCTGATAGCAGTGTTCTCTGAGAAGTTAGACTATTACTGGTGGCTTCTGCTTCCTGTGACCCTCACAGCTATGTCCTGGTGAGACACCTCCTTCCTTCTGCTTACACACCTACAGGGACCCAAGGCGTTGTGTCTGACACTGGCAGGGGAACCAGTGTCTTCAAAGGCTGGCTTGTCTCCCAAAAGTCCATGAGTTCAGTTGTACCACGAGGGGGTCATTTTGAGTTGGGAATAATTGGGAACTTTCAAAGGCCAAATGCCACATTTTTTTCATATTGGCTATTTCTTCATGGCTCTGCTGGGTCTTTGTTGCACACAGGTTTCTACAGATATGGCGAGTGGGGGCCACTCTTCATCACCATATGTGGGCTTCCATTGTGGTAGCTTTTCCGGTCGTAGAAAGTAGGCTCCAGAGCGTGTGAGCCTCAGCAGTTGTAGCACAGGCTCAGTTATCCCACCGCATGTGGAATCTTCCCGGACCCGGGATTGAACCCTTGTCCCCTGCATTGGCAGGTGAATTCTTAACCACTGGACCACCAGGGAAGTCCACCACATAGGTTTTACTGTGCTGATAACTCCTCTTTATGATAGGCTTGCTAATGAGAGCTAACACTTACCAAGTATTTTCTAAGTGCCTGGCACAGTGCTAGGCTAGGGAGGACTGTTACTGTCCCCAGTTTACAGAAGGGAAGGAAAGGCATGCAGAGGCAGCGTAACCTACCCCAGATGATAAACCCAGAGTCTGCACTATTCAACTCCAGGCTGCATGCGAATCATCTATCCAGTGGCCTAACCAAGACCCAAAAACTGAAATTTTGCTTCTAACAGAATCAGAGAGCTTGCTTGGAACAAAATGTCTCTGTTTAAAGCATAGAACAAGAAGCTTTGAACAAGAAGCATCGGTTGAGGTCTTGCTGTGCGATCGCCTCATTCTTCAAAATAAAGTCAAGATGAAGGGTGTTAGGAACAAATAGGCCTTTTACACACGTGATGCCCAGTTCACTTGAACCTGCAGTGGGTCTGTAGCTTCACACCCACTGACGCTGGTCACACCCACACCCACATCCGCGCAGTGACTAAAAGCCTCAGGGGAGTCCGTGTGCACTATTCCCTGAGCCCTACAACTCCGACATGCCGTCTGATTTTTAACATCTTTCTCTGGTTTCAAAGTCGGAAATTACTAAAACCAGTTAGTTTAATTTAGTTTAAGTGCTGTTCCAGTACTTTTTAGTAGTGTTTGCAAATAAATTACGACATTAAGCATTCTGGGCAATTTACATTTCTTCTTAGGATTTCCTCCTTAATGTATCAAGACAAAATGCTAAGGCAGCCAGTTCTGTGGTGATTTTCTTAATGCCCCCCACATGCCACGTCGCAGAAGGAGGAGGGCCTGTCTTCATTTGCATCCATTTGGTTTATAACTACAAAAGCCCTTAAGCCATGGGGCAATGGGTGCAAGTGTGTCTACAGTGACCTCACCCTCACATCCCAGTTTAACATAAAAAAAAAAAAGTTGAGCACCTGCTGCGGCCGATCTCTCTGTTACTCCCTGGCACTTCACTAATCCATTCACGCAGCCCTAGAACCCAGTCCACAGGGCAGGGACTAGTATTGCCAGAGTTACCAGACAAGCTACAATTTGCTGAGGGCCTTCATTGTCCAGGGACTATTCTAGATGGTGGGGACAGCTGTGAGCAAGAGGAGGTCTCCATCTTCTGGGAGCTTACATTCTTCTTGGCAAAGAAAGAAATAAATTCTCTAAATTGTTCATTAAAAAGATCCTTTCAAGATGTGATAAGTGCTTTAAGGAAAGCAAAACGGGGCAAATGGGAAAGAGTGGTCCAGACTTGCATGATCAGGGAAGGCCACTTTGCAGAGGGAATATTTAAACAGTCACCTAAATGACAAGAGTGTACCTGCCATTTGAAATCACAGGCAGAACCAGCAGCATGTGAAAAAATTCCAGCTAAAGAAGCATGATGTGTTCAAGAAGCAAGACCAGAGGGGCTGAAGCCCAGTGAATGAAGCAGGGGTGGCAGGAGAGGGAAAGTAATGAGGGCCATACCCCATGCACAACGTGACTCCAGGGAGCCTTTTTATTAATTGAAATGTTGTTGCTGTACAATGTTATATAAGTTACAGGTGTGCAATATAGTGATTCACAATTTTTAAAGATTATATTCCATTTATAAATATTATAAGATATTGGTTATATTCCCTGTGTTGCAAATATATCCTTGTAGCTTTCTTTGTACCTAATACTTTGTATCTCTCCAGTAAGCCTTTCGATTTTTACTACAGCTCTGGTGAGAAGCAGTTAAAGGGCTTTAAGCAGAGGAGTGAAAGGATGTGGATAAATTTAAACAAATCTCTCTCCTTGCAGTGTAGAGAGTGGATTTTAACTGGAACAGCCATGGATGCTGGAAGCGTAGTTAGGAGTCTGCTGCAATAACCCACAGAGGACAGAAATGCTTTGACTAGAGCCATGTCCATGAAGGTGATGAGAAGTGGCTAGGCTTGGGGTATATTTTAAGGAAGGTGAAGGCAACAGGACATTCTGGGAGGCTGTGGAGTGTGATGAGGTAGGGAGGAAAGAAGACTCAGTATGCTCCTATAATCTGCGTGAGAACTTGGGCTAATGGAAAAGGCAGGGAAAAAACAATTGGTGGTGGGGGACAGGACACAAATCAAGAGTTCTGTTTGGACACATTAAACTTCAGCCTTCTGAGTAGAGATGCTGAAAAAGAAATTGGATGTGCAAATCTGGAACTTAGTGATCTGGTCAAGATTACAAAATAGTAGCATATAGAAGATACTTCATCCTGGAGACTAAAGACAGTCACACAGAAAGAGAGGATTCAAACAGAGAAGACTCAAGACAGAGCTGTAGGATCCTCCAACCTTTAGATGTCTGGCAGAAGAGGGGAAGGACCACCAAAGGGGACTTGAGGAGCTCCTGCAGGAGCAGCTAAGTGCAGAGTCATGGTAGCCCTGACAGAAGGGTCTCATTCCCTGATGCAAGGGCTGAGGATCCAACTGTCAGATGAAAGGGGCGGAGATTGACCATGGATTCAGCAAGAGAGATGGCATCTGTGAGCTGGACAAGAGCCATTTCCATGGTGTGGGGTGAACATATATCTGATAGGAGTGAGTTCAGTAAAGAACGGGAAGAGAAAGACTGGGGACAGCAAAGACAGAATAATCCTGAGTATTGCTGTCCAGGGGGCAGGGAAATGGGGCAATACCTGGAGCAGAAATCAGGTTAAAGGGGGAAGACTTTTATATTACAAGGTGCAAGAGCACTTTGGCCTTCCCAGGCGGCTCAGGGGTAAAGAATTCAGCTGCAATGCAGGAGCCACAGGAGACCCGGGTTGGATCCCTGGGGAAGGAAGACCCCCCTGGAGTAGGAAGTGGCAAGCCACGCCAGTATTCTTGCCTGGAAAATCCCATTGACAGAGGACCCTGGGGCAGGCTACAATCCATGGGGTCGCAAAGAATTGGACACGACTGAGCAGCTGAGCACACACGCACTGGAGCACGTTATGTATTTATGAGGGTGACCTGGAGAAAAAGGAGAGGTTGAAGCTGCAAAAGAGAAAGGACAGAATTGCAGGAACCAAGACTTTGAGACAGGCTGGATCCCAAAGCACAAGAAAAAGAAATAGCCTGATAAGAGAGCGGGAACACTCCATTATATGAAAAGGCAGAGAAGCAGAGTGTGTGGAAACAAAGCAGTTGGAATATGAATCTTATGGTCAGGAAGACGAGGCATTTCTCATCATGTCATTGCTGTTTTCTTAATGAAGTAAAGCAAGGTGGTTAGTGAAACTAAAGGGAGACAAAAACCAAAGATTTGAGGAGAAAGGAGAAAATGTGAACTAGTTGTCTCAGCAAGTTGGAAAGTTAATTTGCTAGGATCGATAGTAAGGATTAGGGCAGGCTTCAATGCCTGTTTGAGATTGAGCATCCTTAATTAAAAGTTAACCAATCAACTGTATCACATGAGTTCAAGTTTTGCCCTGCAGCTATGCACCTGTGCCCCTGTGGGAGGCATAGGGCATTGGATGCCAGGTGATGGGCCTCTCAGAATAAACTGAGATGAGGCAAGGTAAATTTCCTAGTGCTACTCACTCAGCCTTTAAGTGTAGGAGTTAGGATTTGCACCTCATTCCTTTTTTCTCCAAAATCCATGCTCTTTACAAGGAAGATAAAAGGAAAACAGAGGACAAAATCCACTGAAGGTTTCATCTTCACATGCTGGTTCCCAGAATAGCTCCAAGCACTTCAACTGAATTCAAGCCTGCGAGTTTCCTATGTCCATAGCAGCCTCCCCCTAGAAAGTTATTTAAAGCATATATTCTAAATGTCATCACAGCCCAGGTTACATCATGATGTACCTTGTAATGATCCAAAGGCAACACATGCCATTTTGTAAGGATTAGAATTTGTTTTCTTGGTTTAAGAAACAAAGAAATATGTAAATTATTTTATAAAGTTTCCTACTGAAAACAAGTTATAAGACTTTTAAATTTTGTTTCCCAAGGATGTAGACTTATATTGAACACTGGCTTATATCCAGTCCCAGGTCAGTGGACCACTAGATTCTCAAGAGAGACAGGAATGACTGTGCCAAGGAAAGGGGAACAGTGAGTGGTCCAGTGACCAGAGCGGACTAGACAGTGTAGACTGAAGATTGATCACAGCAATTAATCTTTTCTCTCTTTCATCTCCAGCCCCATCTTTACCAGTGCCTTGAGTTCCATCTTCAGCAAGTGGGACCTCCCTGTCTTCACCCTGCCCTTCAACTTCGCCTTGACCCTGTACTTGGCAGCCACCGGCCACTACAACCTCTTCTTCCCCACGACGCTGGTGGAGCCTATGTCTTCAGTGCCCAACATCACCTGGTCGGAGATTGAGATGCCCCTGGTAAGTCACCAATGGCAGGTGTGTGGGGGCCTGTTTCCACTGCAGCCATCTCACTCACCGCTTTGTGGATTACTCAGGCGCTCAGCTTCTTTGCACCTCCAGTAAATGATGCATATTAGCAGAGAGGAGCACAGGAAAGGGTCAGTGCCACCTCCATATCTTCTTTCCGTAACCCCCTACTGGCGACCTTATAGGTGCCAGGCTTGTCATCAGACACTGAGCATACACGGAAAATAAGACAACATCCCTGCCTTCAGGACACCTACAACCTGCCCAGGGCAGCAGGTGATAACAAGGGTACAGATAAGGGTTAGGCTGGCAATACAAAATGGTGGCTTTGAGGGGAAAATATTAAATAAGATGAATAGGTGGGTGAAGGGTCAAGGCACTGAAATAATATTTAAGATATTAAAGATATTAGCAATAGGAGAATTCCCGGAATGTTCAGTGGTTAAGACTCCAAGTTTTCACTGCCGAGAGCCCAGGTTCAATCCCTGGTTAGGGAACTAAGATCCACAAGCCACGAGGCATGCCCCCCGACACTGCCAAAAAAATGGATATTATCAATAGAAGATGGGAGTAAGTTTTTGTGTATTTTCCATATCAGTGGCTCTCAAGCAGGAGTGATTTTTTTTTTCCTTCTTAAGGAGGGTGAATGTCTACAGAAATGTTTTAAAGGTCAAAACTAGGTGGAATGTACCACTGACCTCTAGTGAGTAGAGGCCAGGGATGCTACTGAACCCCCTACAATGCACGGCCTTCTCCCCACAGCAAAGAATTAACCAGCCCAAAATGTCAAAGCTGAGAAACCTTGCCTTATGTCCTGATATCCACAGATATACAAATGCATTTATTCTACTGAACTCTAGAAATCAGAGATAAAGGGATATAATAAAAATCTCACACAAGATTAAAAATGTAGAATTGTAAAACTTTGACCTTGTTAATGCATATTAATGGACAACCCCATGGACTGTAGCCCACCAGGCTCCGCTGTCCATGGGGATCCAGGCAAGAATACTGGAGTGGGTTGCCATGCCCTTCTCCAGGGGGATCTTCCCAACCCAGGGATCAAACCCAGGTCTCCTGCATGGCAGGCAGATTCTTTACCATCTGAGCCACCAGGAAAGCCCTGTTAATGAATATAGGGATAGCTAACAGCTTACCCTGAAGCAAATTTATTATGTACCAGACACTGTTTGAAGCCCTTAGCTTACTAACTCATTTAAACCTCACCATAACCCAAAGCTAACTACCATCATCCTCTTTGACAGATGGGGAAACTAAGGCACAGGGAGGGTTAGTTGCCCAAGATCAAGCTGTAGCTGGTGCTGCAAATATTGTTCACAAAATCTGATTTCTGAGCCCTCCCCACCCAGCCTGGCCCTGCGTCTCGATGTGCTTACACTTTAGTGTGCGGCCCGGTGGTGCCCCGGTGCTGGGCAGACAGCAGGTGGGATGCACAACGCAGGCCCTGCAGGCTGGGCCATACCCTGAGCCTGAACCTGTCAGGAAAGGAAGGCCTCCCCCGTCCCTCACGGCAGACGATGCTGCCAACAATGCCAGACTTTTTTTAAAGTTTTTGTCTTGCTAGAAGTTTTATCTGGGGCTGGGGCTGGGGCTGGAATGGGATCAGAGGCAGGGTTAGGGCCTAAATCCAAGGCAATGAAAAAGACAGAGCCCTTCGTTTAAGTGAAAGCCCGCTTTCTCAAATGGAAAACTACTGGGGTCGGAGCAGGAACGAAAAGAACTGAATGGTCAGTGATCAGCCATCTGGTGACTGGACACACTGCCTCCAGGCACAGTCTGCTGCCCCTGAGCCCGCGGGTGAAGCTGGCCTGAGTGACAGCCACAGGGCATGCGGCACTGCAGGGGAAAAGGCCCACCGAGCCCCCGACCTGCCCTGCACGCGAGGCTGTGCCATCCCGTGCTGAGAGACCAGTGTAGAGACAGCCACAAAGAAGAGACGCTTCTTGTTCATCTTCAAACAGTAAAAAGTACTAGGAGCCAAATCCAGTGCCCCAAGGCCCAAGCTCACCCTCTGAGCTCCCCCGCACCACCTCTCTGACCACTGATTCCTTTCCTTCTACACCATCCAGATCTGAGTTTTGACCAATCAGTGCCGTTTCTTTCTCTTTAAAACAATGAGGGGAGTGATTTCTGTTTTGTTCAGCGGGCTTGTTGTTGTTACACAAGGATTATCTGGAGGACAGAGAAGGCCGGTCCTTAGTAAATTTCCACCGCACACCTGACTGCCCTTTGTACCAGGGTGTTGGCTGTAACTTAGAGAGCAGCATGGAGGGGTCGGGCCCCGGTTCACCAGGCTGAAGTTTGGATCCCAGCAGAGCTTCATTCTAAACTCAGACTTCACTCCAAGGCAGCTTGCCCCCTCAGTTCTCTCATTCTTTCCTGCTTGGACCTTAAACCTGGGTTCCCAGATGGAACTGAGGTCCCTGGGTTGAAACAAAGGATTTTCAGGGTTCCTGTAAATAAGACAGGACCCCACCCTGTGATTCCTTGCACAAGTCTATAGGCTCTGGACCAAACAGTGGTTGGTGTTTAAAAGGCCACCTATTTGGAGGCAAGAGTGGACATAGTTTAAAAACTATCTGGGACTCCTCAAATTCACTAAAGAAATCAGACTGACACTAGAATTAAATCAGGTTGTTAAAAAGAACAAAATTTCATCAAAGGGAGAAATGCAATGAACTCCCAACATCTACAGTGGATGATGACTAATCCATTGGTCCCCAAATTCTGTTGTACCTGGTGCTCTGGCCATGCCCCCTCACACCACTTAGGATGTCTGGGGAGGTGCTAGGCATTAATATTTTTTTAAAAGATTTTTAGGTGATTTCAATGTTCACAAAATTTGGAAACCACAGAACTAATCCACATATATTTATTAAGCACCTATTATGGCCCCAGTTAAAGGAGTCCTGTGCTCAAAGAGGTCACATGAGCTGATAATGGAGGAAGGAGTTGGCAGAATTTTAAAGCTGGAAAACTGTCTATTGGGCAGCCTCCTCGTGGTACAGAGATGGTCACACACAAACTTTCGCAGAAACCCCTAAAAGCTGGGGCTCATGATTCTGGGCCAGTGCTCTCCCTGCCCTGTCAATCTCCCTCTTTTCCTTTGTGCCCTCAAAGAACTTTTTGCGAAATGTGGGTGATTTGGGTATTTAAAAAAAAAGCTATCTTGACATCACTGCCAAATCAATCATCTCCAGATCCAACATCTCCCAGTGACTCTCAAGCCCAGGGATCCAGTGCTTCATGCTGTTCAGATATTCCTCATGCTACCTGTCTGTCAAGTGCTCCTGGAGAGCAGGGGAAGCGCTCCTCTTCCCTCCCGGGCTCCCCCATCCCTGGGTTAGCACCAAATGTGAGCAACCAAGAAACCAGTAATCAGGCTCAGAGGCTCTAGCCCGGGATCGGCCACTGTGAGCTGGATGATCTTTGGTCAAATCGTTCATCAAAACGGCCCAGACAGAAACCAACACAACTTTCTGTAAAGCAATTACCCTTCCATTAAAAAAATTTATAAAAATTTTTTAAATGGCCTAGAATATTTCCAGAATTCCTGGAATATTTCTAGGATTTCAGAAGGTCTAGAGAAAGCCCGCTGGTGCCCTGAAACCTCCCAGTGACCGTCCAAGGAGGCACCCTCTAGACCCCCAAAGCAAAAGCCATGTGTCCCTCAGAACCACCTGGCTCCAGCCTCTGTGCTGGGGACCTGCTCGGATTTGCATGAGGGATGCTCAGATGCCTGCCAGGTGGTGGAGTGAGGAGCGATTTGTTCCAGCTCGTGCCTTCCCTTCCACATTCTCCCACACGCTGGCGGGCACAGCAATCCTCCCGTTCCACACCGTGACCCCCCGGGGAAAGGCTCAGTCCTCAGCCCGAGGCTTGGTCCTTGCATTATCAGCCCACACTCCACTGACCTGGATTTTGTTGACTTTGCAGCTGCTACAAGCCATCCCTGTCGGGGTCGGGCAGGTGTACGGCTGCGACAACCCCTGGACAGGTGGTGTGTTCCTGGTGGCCCTGTTCATCTGCTCGCCACTTATTTGCTTGCATGCAGCCATTGGATCAATTGTGGGGCTGCTTGCAGGTAGGCCGGGGCCCCCTCTCGGCAGGGGACATTTTCCTGAGGTCATTTCTCCCAGCACACAGTAAAGAGTCTAGGCTTACTGTCTTCCCTGAAGTTTTTAAACACTGTCAGGGCTTGAGACTTATTTTTTCCTTTCTTGAGTCTCCAAAAGATAGCAGGGCCTGTGGGGAGATGCAGAAGGGCTGAGACCTATTGGCCTGTAGCCCCTGGGAGCTGAGGGGTGGGACGCAGACGGGAACCTGGTGTGGGTGGGGAGCACTAGCTGACCCAGTGGGGGTATAAACAACCTAGCACTTTGAAATTCTGACTAAGCTAACGGGAAAAAGTTTCCCAAGAATTGGATTGCCATTTAACAAATGTCATTCAATTTCTATGTATGTGTCTATACACATGTTCATATATGTAAGTGAAGAGAGTAGAGTCAGAAAAGGACCTTGGGTGCTTTGGGAATAGGAGCCTGTTGACTTATCCCAATATTTTTCAAAAATTTCTTGGAAGCACGACTTAAGAAAAAAAAGAATGTTATTTGGAAATAATTTCAAACTTGTGAAAACTTACAAAATTAAAAATAGTCCAAGAGACACCCACAAATTCTTCACCCAGATTCACCTGCTGTTCACATCCAACCCCTTCTGCCATCTCATTTCTGTGTCTGCATATATCTATATGTGTCTAGACATAATTTTTCTCAACCTGTTGAAGCACAACTTTTTCTGTTGAAATCTTTCTTGCTAAAAATGCAGCTGCTCTGGCCAAAGGAGTGGGGAGGGCCTGCAACCCACCTCCTTGGCACCCCCTCACCCTAGAAGTGGTCATACCTCTGAGTGAAACCTTAGAAAAACAGTGGAAACCACTGCTCTCTCCCACCACTGTCGCTTTCCTAAGACCAGACGCCCTTTGTAGAGGCTCCTCTGATGAGCAGGTATTGGGGGGGAGCAGGGGTCAGCGATGGGAGGAAGAGCACCTAAGAACTGGCACCAGTCATGGGGTGGCCTTCACACTGTGACCTCGAATCAGCCAGAAATGCAATACCTTGTCCGACAGCCCTGACGGTGGCCACGCCCTTCGAGACCATCTACCTGGGCCTCTGGAGTTACAACTGTGTCCTCTCCTGCATCGCCATTGGGGGCGTGTTCTACGCCCTCACCTGGCAAACCCACCTGCTGGCCCTCGTCTGTGGTAGGTACCGGGGAAGGCTGGCAGCCAAGTCACTCTGCTGTTCCTTGACCTTCCCCATTCCCCTGGGTGTGTGACACCCATGGTGGACCCTCATCAGTACTGAGCAGATGATGGAGGGACTGTGGCCGGGGTCTTATCACTAAGGGATTTAATAGGGGTACCCTAAGAGCTGGGGGGTCTGAGGTTCTTCCTCTATCAGATGGAGTCACCACCACTATTCCTCATGAACCATTAAAGTTCATGAGGAAATCACACACACATTTCCTCGTGTGCTAGTGGCAGCATTCCTGACCTCAACAACTGTTCTCACTCAACCACTATCAACAGGGCACCACTAAGTGCTGGGCCCTCGGCTAGACCTAGAAGATACAGACCACATCCTCATGAAGCCATGGTCTAGCAGAGCAGATGTAATTGCCCAATATTCAGGGCAATTATCTGTGATATCTAAAAAGACTATTGGAAAGAGCCAGTGAGATGATGTACCTGGGAGGACTGAGGTCCCAGAAGATAGTAACATAGCACTAAAGGGGCCTGATCTCCATCAAGTAAACAAAGAACGAACTGTGTGAAGAGAAATGGACCACAGTCATTAAACGCACCCCAGCACCATGCTCTGTGCTGGATAAACAGTACTCATTTCATCCTGCCAAGATGACTGCCAGGCATAGATTTTAGCCCCATTTTACAGGTGAGGAAATGAGACTCAGAGGGGTTGACAAACTTGTTCAAACACAACTACTGATGGCAGAAGTGAAATTCAAACTCCAGTCCCATCAGCCTCCCTGTCCTGGAGTTGCTTATGTCCTCTGGAACCAACAAGACACTAATACACAAAACTAGAGGCAAGTGAAGGGCAGAATATCATCCAGAAGGGCTCTCTTGTTTGTTTTCCCCCAGTTAAGTGTGGGAACTGTAAATGCCTATTGTGTCTCTTGTACCCTCCTCAGCATCCAGCTGGAGGCTGGACTTGGAGAACAGTGGGCTCAACAAATATTCACCAAGTCAAAACTGCCAGGTGTTTTGAGGTTGAGACTGTAACTGTCTATGATCCTCAGAGAGACGGCAGATTCCTGTGGCTGGAACCACCTGGGAAGGCTTTGGGAGGAGGCTGGGATTTATCTCAACCCTTTCAGGGTGGGATTTGGATAAGCAAAGACAGGGGAAAGGTGTTCTGGACAGGGAAACAGAGCAAACATAGGCAGAAGGAGCTTGTTCAGAGGCACCAGGGCTGTGGATGAGTTCCCCTCACTGTCCTGTGGGTGAACCCAGAGGCCTGGCTCAGGGACCCAACATGGTCCAGCTGTGAGAGGACTTGGTGAGGGTCCAGGAGCATCACAGCAGCTCAGAATCTTGGACAAGAGGGACTTTATTCAGAGCTCATATAGTCTGACAACTCATCCCTCCAGACGGATAATCACCCAGCCATCCAGTCTGTGCTAGAACATCACCAAGGTCATTGTGGAATAGTAAAAGATGCTTGTTGACCCCTGACTCCACACAGAGCTACCATGGAAGTGGGGAGGGGATAAAGGGATATGCAAGCTTTCATCTCTACCTTCAGAGAGCACACAGCCCAGTGAGAGATGGGTCACAAGCAAACATGCCAGATGTCAGGGTGTGGGGCCAACACAGTGGCCCCGGGGGCCGGAGTGGAGCCCGCTCTTAGGGAAGGCTGGGGGCGGGCCCTGGGAAGCTGACTCCTGATGGCCCTTGTGTCTCCACAGCCCTGTTCTGTGCATACATGGGAGCAGCCCTCACCAACATAATGTCAGTGGTAAGTCTGGGGTCTCCTGACACTACCCTAAAGTGCCCCAACCCAACCAGGCCTTCAGGACATTTGGAGTCTTGTGAGTGGGTTCCAGTCGCTATCACTCCATATAACAGCCTGGTCAAGGTTTATTCAGGGTTTGTCCAGAGAAGGACTGGCCACGGAATATTTTATGTGCCTCTGAGGGATGTGTCCGTGTGGATGTGTGTGTGAAAGAGAGGGTGTTGTAACCAGCAGTGGAGAATATGGGTGGACAGATGGAGGTACTCATGTTTTGCCGGCATTGAGAGAATGTCTCTAGGGGGTTTTCAGCTCCATCATTAGAAGATTCTGATTGTCCCCAAAGGGACCAACACCTCAAATTCAAACAAGCCATTCTAACATGATCAATCCAGAAACCAAGGCTGTCACTAGGGGAGGGTCGCCATTCTCAGCCTCTACCACATCCTTCTTCTCCAAGGTCCCAGGAACCCAGGAACATTTTCAGATCCCAGTGTTTTTGCTTTCAGGTTGGTGTGCCACCAGGCACCTGGCCCTTCTGCCTCTCCACACTCACCTTTCTGCTCCTGATGACCAACAGCCCCACCATCTACAAGCTCCCACTCAGCAAAGTCACCTACCCAGAGGCCAACCGCATCTACTACCTGACAGTGAAAAGCCAAGAAGAAGAGAAGTCCTCCAGTGGTGACTAGCCAAGTTATAGGCAGAAATGCTCTTTGCCTGGACTGGGGTCTGCTCCGTGTAATCTCAGCTCTGGATCAATCAGCTGCAGCACTCACTTTCTTTGCCTCTCCTCGCACCTGTGTGGAACAAAACATGCCTATCCCTCCCTCTCCCTGACATTGATTTTCTCTCTCTGCCCAAATCACCTTAACTCTCCACTGTTCACTGTTCAAAGACACTGGTGATGAGTTCCTGGTGTTAGTAGGAAGGCATATATTTTCAATGTCAGTGACTTAAAACAAAACCATTCTTTGTATTTAGTCTTTTTTTTTATTTAGTCTTTTGTAAAGGTGATTCAGAGATGATCTTCTTAGCAGGTTTAACTAAACAACAGAAGCTAAGAAATCAAATGTGCTGAGTGTTTCCTGGGTGGGTGAAAATTCAGGGAATGCAGATGCCAGAGTGCACAGAGCTAATGACTGGTGGGCACATACAGCTTTACATAAAAGAGAGAAATTTCAGATAGAGAAACACAGTTTGAAAGTCAAAATGGGGACAGTTAGGGCACTGAAAGTGTCTTAATAGGGACTCAGACATTTAGGGGTCAGAGTAAAGGGCAAGAGGATAGTCTGTGGCAGGAAGTAATCGGTAAGTTAGGCTCCTACACGACTCATGATGAAAGATTGGCATTTCTCACTGCAGGTCAAGCCAGCGACTTTGAGCAGGGAATTCAGTTGAGGAAATCACCTGAGCTCAGTATGTGAGAGGCTGGGGAGATCTATTTCATTTCCCAGTTTGCCTGTGGGTGTTGGAAGCTTTATGAGATTTATGATACTTAAATGGTTAATCTTAAGTAGAAGAACAAACAATTATTAATGAATTTTATAATTTGTCTTCCCAATTATAGGTATTGACTTACATTCAATCTTTATTTAGATACAGACCAGGGATTGTCAACTTTGTCCTGGAAAGTGTCAAATTTCAGTTCTGGAGGCAACACAATCTCTTTTACAAATACTCAACCCTGTCATCATAGAGCATAGTAGCCTTAGACAACATGTGAATGAAAGAGGGTGGCTGTGCTCCAACCAGACTTTATTAAACAAGCAGCTAGATTTGGTCCACAAGCTGTAGTTGGCTGGGCCCTGGTATAGACGATCAATACAACGCTCAGGGTCTGGAGATCCATATGTGACTTAGGAACTGGTGGGAAGTGGGCAGACTCAAAGGACACCACCAGGTTCTTTAACCAGACAAGGCAACAAGGCATTTACCTGCTGGGTGATAGTGTGAAGAGCCTTAGGAAATCGAGGGCACTGGAGAAAGGGAGATCACGGTGGCAGGAAGCAGGAAGATCTGCCCTGAGGCTCTTGCAGAGACTGACAAGCCCAGTGCTGAGCACTAGGGGGCGCAGTTTTACACCAGCCCCTCGGTCCACACCCGGGTCTAGGAACCACCCCTCAGGCTCACCCTCTCTGGCTGTTTTGCCTCGGCCAGTAGGTTCACCACCACGGGAGGAAGAAAAAAACCGGAGCCCTTCAGTGCAGGGTTTCTAGGCAGGAGGAGCAGGGAGGCGCTGGAATCTCAGGGCTGGAGGGAGCACGCAGGCCAGGTTGTGCCACCATACTGTGACCCGTGACCTCCATTTGGAGGAAGAGGACTTTTTGTTTCCTGACAGGCCTCCAGAGAGGACTCCGTCACCCTCTGAAAGGAGACCCCTCCCCGCAAGTATCCTAGCAGGAGATAGAACCCGAAACCCTATTCGTCCGTTCATTATGGGCAAATTGTCATAGGAAATCCCCTTCTCCATTAAGCCCTGAGAATCTCCACCCAAAGCACTGGATCTGATGGAAACAGCCCTTTAGCCACGCTTTTTATTGGATTCTCAGGAGAGGAAAACTATCCGGATATGAAAAATGCTTTCAGCTCAGTCGGACAATATTCTCTTTCCCCTTCCTTCTCTTCCTGCATCACTTCTTGGTTTGTCATTTACAAGGTAACACATGGGTCACAGTTATCTGGGTTGTTTTTCCCTCCCAAGTTCCTGCTTTAATTCCCGCACAAGAATTAAAAGTTAACTGTGTTGCAAGCTGCCAAACTCGTTAGGAGAAAAATGGACAAAATTTAAATTATTCTGAAAAAGGAAAAAGTATGTCCACCAAATCTGGAAAAGCCACATGGCCCCAGAAACTCTATAATGCACTGCGATCAAAATGGCCAGGTATTTATGTACAGGTAAATGTTTTTACACGTGTTTTTACACATTATCTGCTAGTATGATATAAGGAAAAATGGACAAAGTGTATTATTAATCAGTGAATTACCTTGCCAAGAGAAGTTGTACAGGATGGATAAAATATTTTTCTTTAATCCTTTGAGGCTAAGATGCTGAAAGTTGACGATATTTTCCAAATGTGGTCAATCTCCTCCTGGAGGCAGAGCAAATATCAGTCATTAAGCCAGGCTGATGGGCAGATGTGGCATCTCTCTCTCAGGCATGGATGAGGGTGGGCAAAAGTGAAAAGCCCACTAAGAAAACTCTCCCATTGCAGGTCACTCTGTCCACAGGCCATGGACAGATGTCCAGATGTGCTCTGAAATAGTCCAAATAGCCCCCAGGACCTGAGAGCTAGCTCCCTGATGTTATCTTGTCCCACCTTCACCAGAGCTTCCCCCTCGCCTGCCCCTGAAAGAACATGTCAGAGCCCTAACCTTGCAGATTCTCCCCTCCAGCATGGGGCACTCGGGAGCAGGCCCCCAGGAGGGAAGAAGGGCTTCTGGGAACATGTCAGAGCTGTTTTCCTACTATCATCTCAAACTACCAGCAGCAGCTCTTAGGTGTACAAATGATAGTTGAACATACATATTTATGGTTGAACAGAAACAAACTACTACTCTCTGAAAGTCAAGAAAGTAGGAATGTATGTGTGGAGTTGGGGAGGGCAGGGCTTTAGCAGAAGTGCTGTCTTAAACTCTTTTCCCTAACAAACCCCTTTCTCCCTCTCTCCACTGTCTCCTCCCTCTGACCTGGCCATCTCTCCCACCCATTTTCGTCTTCTGTCCTACAACACTGACAAGTTCTACTATCATTGTGAAACAGTGTTGTTCTGCTGCCTTTTTTAATGGTTGGTTTTAATTATCTCTCCAGTCTCTTCTATGATAACTGACATAATCAAAATCTCTACTTCAAATTGGGAGCTTGCTAGGAAAGAATCCATTTTCTTTAGTTTTAAAATTTTATTGCCAGAATATTACTCATAATGTTCTCGTGGTAATTTGTATCTCTCCAGTTATCTGCGGCTTTGTCTCCTTTTTCATTTCTAATCTTATGTAATTTTCTCTTTCCTTTAGGCTTGTGAGGGGTTCATTCATTTTATTGATTTTTTTCAAAGAAGCAGTTTAGAATTTGTCTTTTTCTACTCATTTCAATTTGTTTTTATTTCTTTTTCCCATTTTCTTGTGGTTTATTTAAATGTTATCTTCTCCTAATGTTTTTAAAATTCATATAAAATTTCCTCATATTAGATTTTTGCCCTTTAACAACAAAGGCATTTAAGTCTATTAATTTCCCTCAGTTACAGCTTTAGCTGTGTGCTGTAGGTTTTGGAATAAAGTGTTCTGCTTTCATTGGTTTTAAAAGTTTTTTATTTTACTTTTTATTTGTCTTTGAGGCAAGAATTTTTGAAGAACATGTTTCTTGATTTCCAGCACTTTAAACTTTTTGATGTTTTTCAGCTTTCCATATCTACTTTTATAGGATTATGAGCAAATGGCTGGTACAATCTTTATTTTTAAATGTTATGCATTTTTCTTTGTAGCCAAGTATATGTTTGATTTTGAACATACAAAATGCAGATTTTTTATCTGAAGGAAATATATATTAAATTGACTTTATTAACTGCATCATTCAACTCTTCTATGCACTTATTTATTTTTAGTTTATAAATCTTAATTCTGAAAAGGGTTTATTAAAATGCAACTATAATTGTATAGTTTTATTAAACTTTTTTTGTATTTCTGAAATATTTGTCTCATATATTTAGCAGTTACATTGTTTGGTACCTATGGACTATGATTAACATTGATTCTTCTTAAATTTTATCTTTTACTACTATAGACTGCCCATTTTTATACTCATTAGTGCCTTTAACCAAATTCTAATTCAGTTGACATTGACATTGCTGAATCCACTTTCTTTCTGGTATTTCCTTTTCCTTTTATTTTAAACTTTATCATTTCCTTTTAACTTTATCACTTTCTTTTAACTGTATTTCTGACCTCATTCACTCATTCATCCAGAAGACATTGTATGAGGAACTATTTTAATATGTCACTCAGGCCCCCTTGACAACAAACCAGGAAAGAATCAGACCATTTCCTGCCTTCAAGGAATTCACTTTATGGGGATTTGCCTGGCCATGTGAGTAATCTTACCTGACAGGATGTCACCACAGACTGCCTGAGCCACATAAGGTCACGGTACCAGTTTCATGATTTTGAGTGGTGAATGAAATATCTTGTTGGGTTAATCTTCTGTTTAGGAAAAGTATTAAGCATGATGTTAAGAGTTTCAGGAAAATTTCTATGCCTCTTCACCTCTTGTTCTCTATCTTGTCATTACCTGCCTGCCCAAACACTCCCAGCTGTCCCTTCAGTTCAAGTCTTTGAACCTGTTAAAATGTAAACAGTCCTGGGAAGGTAACATAGTAAGCATGATCAATCACTTGCATCTTAGGTTGAAGGCGTCATTTCTGAGAATTGGTTGGATGAAAAAAGAAAGGAGAGTACAAAGAAAAAAATAGGTAGCACATTTTGAGAGTGTCTTTGGCAAAGGAGGGCATGCTGAGATGGGGCCAAGCTGGAGGAATGAGATATGGAGGCCCTTTTTTCCATCATCGGTGATAACGAACTGTTGTATTTGGCTTAGAGAAGAGAAGAAATGCCTGGGGCCATGTGGAAGAAGTTGTCATTTTACTCAATGGTACTTCAGATCATAGAATAAGGACCACTAGATGGGAGTG